TCTATACCGACTATGCCACCGTACCTATATCCGAGGGGGGTAGTCACGTCACACCCGCGTTAAGAATCGGAGCAAATGTTTGCATTGATTTCCGTGAAAGAAAACACTTTCCGCCGTCCGCTATAACTGCGAATTGTCATCTCGTCCATTCACATTTTACCTGCGCTCAAATAAGCATAGTAATTTATACATGATAACTGTCAAATTGTAACATGACAATTTATGTAGCGACGGTTAACAAATGTATCGTTTTAAGTAAATTTCATCGCGGATGCATTACATTTCTGTTTCAAAATGTGCACGTGTGCGCGAGAGTCGCGCAAATCATATTTACAATATCAGTTCTCGTTTATCGGTATAATGTTATGTCCAGCAAGTGTATTATTGTAAAATGTATCGCGAAGTATACAATGGAAATTCGTATGTGCAACAAGTACCTGAGGGGGGGGGGAGAGGGGTGCGGGCCGCGGCCGGGGCAAATGCCGATTTTCCATCTTTGGCTCCTCGAGATTCGCAATCAAACCCCCCGAGCTAAGTGCGCGCTCGAACAGCGCGAGCATAACGACTTGAAAAGTGTAACAGACTGTTTGAAACGCGGTCTCGCGTTATCAGCGGCCGCTTTAGCACCTGAAAATTGCCTCGTGCTTTTTCCACCGCGCGACGCACTTAATAAAACATGCTCGCTTCTCCTGCTCTCCGGACCCCTCGCACCTGTCCTTCTTCCACTCGGCGCGAGTCCCCTCTCTCATTCACACCATCGCCCACGAGCACGCCGGCCCCGCGAGTGTGTACGCCCGCGTGTATACACACACACACACACACACACACACACACACACACACACGCTTTACGTTCCCGTTCTGTTTTCCTTTCCCTTCCTCTTCCTTTCTCTTGGTCACGCTTCAACACCTTTCCCTCATCCTCGTCCCTCTTTTGAGTTTTGTGGTAAACGAGTCTCTTTATCTTCGTTTCTTTCTCCCTTTCTTCCCGTGTCCCCTACGGTTTTTTCCTCTCTTTTTCTCTTTTGCTAGGCAATCCCCTGACTTTCTCTCTATCCCACTCGAGATTGCTACCGCTGTTGCTTCTTTCTTTATCGGATATACTACCTCCTACTAGGGTTCTAACGCAGTATCTCTTACTCGCTCCCTCAGTAGCACGCTCTCCGCGGAACTCCCGACCGCTTCAGAGACAACCAAATAAATGTCTCTCGGACTACTTGCACCGACACTTCTCCGCTACGCTTAGCTAATTCGGCACCGTATACCCGTAAAATTTCGTAACCGAGGTTCACAAAAAATGTTTGAAAATTGGTTAATTATAATTGCGTGGTATAAATTTTTTTTCCCTTTTCCTTTGTAGGATAGTGACCATACTATAAAGCAGTTTAATGTAGTTTACGTTTAATATGTTACAATAAATTCAAAAAATTTAAATTTAGAATTTAAATGCCATTAAAAAATTAAGCGTTACTTTTTTCCCCTCGAGAAATTTATTTATTATAAGGTCAACCATGAATAATGTTACAGAAGATTTTTTTAAGATATAGGAGATTTTCGTAAGATTAATCTATCAATTTCCACTTGGTGCGTCTAATATTATTTAAAATCGTGTAATTTATTTTAACGTCACGCGGTAATTTCTGGTGCGCTCTGACGCGATTAATAATCGCACGAAAAACATACGCAAGATATTCTATGGATTTCAAAATGAATAAAACCTTATCATGACACGTCGCAGGCCGGCAATGCCCGATAAGCGCCGAATGAACTCGTTAATGCCGACATTCCTATTACGCTCACCAACTTTATTGGGTAAAAACGCTCTCCCTTCCGCTGTCATCGCACTCTTGTGCACGCGACAGTCGCGCACTGCGGCCGGATATACACACGTGTATACACGTGAAAGGAAGGGAATACCGCGACGTTGGTCCGAGCGCGCCGTAGCGCGCGGTGCTCTCCCGATGGGCGTGGATAAACGAGCGGAAAAATGGCGGGGTTTGGAAATGAGATTTGCTGGTAAACCGACAATTTATCGTAGGTATCTGCGAAAGCATCTCTTGACGTTCCTCTGACCAGAGTTATAATTAATACGCTCTCGTCACAGTGCGCCCGACCAATATTCCGTCGCGCCCGCACACGTACACAGCCGGAGCCGCGCCACGCGGCCGCCCCGCGGTACGCGTGTACGGACGACGGCGCGCGAATCTGTGTGGTCGCGCTCGCGCACCGACGTGTAACCGGTTGTTGATTAAGTTTGAATGACTGATGCCGCAAAAACACATTAAAACTTGAATGAGTACAGATGAAAATTTAGTCGCTAGGAATCAAGAGACCGCAGAGGCAAATGGCCTGGCGGCCGCACATACGCGCGGACGGAACCTCCTCCTCCACCTCCGCCTCATCCGCCTCCACCCCCGCCTCCCCCCTTACCCCTTCGCGCGCTGGCACCCGGCGTCGTTTCCTCTCTCTTTCGCGATCGGATGCCCATCGAAATACAACTACGCGAAAAACACTCGGCGATTGCTATATCCGCCGTCCGGAGGCACTCGCGTCTGGTCGCATACCGCAACGGAAACAGCCTGTGCACTCGGTTGGCTTTCGACGATCGTTTTTTCGACCGATCGATGAGTCGGCTGGCAAGATCACGGTTTGGTCTGCGAGGCTTGTTTCGAATCTGATTCCATAGTAATAGAGAGGATAGAGCTGTGATCACGCGGCTAGGTCTCTCTCATCGCCATCGCAGATTCGCGGTTGTCCCTTGTGTGATTTATAGATCTTTAGCATTGCACGCCATGCATTTACATCATCTGCCGCAACGATGGTAAATCATGGTGTCTCTAACTTCGCAATATCTTCGTGTCGAACGACTCGGAATATTAAATTTATTACACGAATCGGCGCGGGGTAAACCGTCAATTTTTTTTTCGGTAAAAATTAGCATTCGCTTCTCCGCTATTCTACTTTAATTGGACTGTCAACTCGACGTCCAAGGGACCCGTCCCATTGGGCAAGCATTAAGACCCTTCATTGTCCAGCGTTGCGAACGAATGATCCTTGGGATCATTCTTCCATTCTCGCGATAAAATGCGTCCAAATTGGGGACGTTGAAGACGAGGTACGTATCGGGTGCCGTAATCGTGCAATCTATCACGAATACAAGATCCGCGGATTATCGTAAGACAACTGTGGAAGAGCAGATTATCCCGACTGTCGTCCCGTAAATACTTCAACATCAATGGAAAATCACGCAGATCCAGATTTAGCGTGCGCTCGCGAACGGAATGGGAAATGGGGATCCATCAAACGACAAACTCGCGACTGCAACCGTACAGGCAATAGCAACGGCACAGTGATTGCCAGAAAGAGAGAGAGAGAGAGAGAGTAAAAGAGAGGAAGAGAGAGACCCGCGAGATGATCGTTTCCTCAATAAAAATCGTCAACCAGATCGTAGCTCACGTACCGATACGGGACCGCACCACTCCCCCCATCGGTCCAATCAGAGGCTCCCATCGTCTTAATGTATTCAAATGTAAGCGGTAGCAGTGTTTATGTCTTGACATTGCAAATTGTAGCGGCCGCGCCATAACTTATAGTAATTGCTGCGCGGCGGAGTAATTATTTATACTCGTGATATAGCGTACGGGAGTTACTCACCAACCGGGATCTATATATACACACACCGACATCGAGGCCCATTGTGCGCGTGAATATCGAAAAGGGGCGAAACGGAGTGTGATATTAAACCCGAATTTAAGCGGACGAATCGGCGACTTCGATGCCTCGGCACAACGTAGGACGGTACCCCGTCACACAAGGATCGAAGAAAGAAACTGTAAAATCAACGATTCTTTTTAATTCCATTTTTCTTATATTAACAAGGGATATGAAAATCTTCTTAAATAAAAGTAATCATTGCCCGTATGGGGCAATTCCATTGGTGTTTGAAGTTAAACAAAAAATCTTACTATCGCTAATTGACTGTGCCAATTTTAATGATATTTAATATTGGTTCTAAATATATACAATAATACAACATACTCTACAAAAAAATTCGTACCTCTCTTTTTTTTTGTTTCTACTTGTATTTGTTCCTTTCAACATAAAATAGATTGACAAATGTTAGGAATTTCGTTAATTTTACGTCGCAATTTCTAACGAATTAGATATATTTGCAATGAATGGATAATATTCGTAATATCCATAATTTTACAGGCATTCTTTGACAATTGCATTTTCGAATAAAAAAATTTTAATCTCAAACATGTGTGCCGCCATCTCACTGTCAGTGCTCGAACTTGTACAGTATTTCAATACGTTAAAACTGGTTGTAAATAATACTACGTCACAGCGACAACTACATATTTATGACTATTTAAATCAGCCAGATAAAACAAATGTTAAATTTGCAATGATTTGTTAAATCGTTCGGATTCCTCATAAATTTCGGGTATATTTTTGTTATGCATTCCAGTTGCGTAATCGACTACATTGTTTAATCACCTCTGTATCAGTATCCAATAATTTTTAATTAAAAAAAAAAAGACGCAAGTACGTGCGCCCCAAGAATAAGACTAAGGGAATTTACAAAGTTTGCGATTTCTGTCGATAAATCAGTTTAAGCATTCAGTCGATGAGAACGCGGGTGGTTTTGCGGTGTAACAGGTGGTTGAAATTCTCATTCTCCACAGCTTTTTGCTCCTTTATCGGCAAAAAAGGAAAGAATAAGTTCCAGTTTATGAATCGGAGCGCGTTTAACGCTCCTTAAAAGGGTAAAGCGCCTCCGATGGCTCTCTCAACGAGGAAAATTTCCGTGCTTTTACGAGATCGTGGAATATGGTAGATCGTGGAATATTGGTAGAATATGTAGGAGCAAGCTTTTTTTGCGAGATAGAATTGTAACACTTACAATGAGATTGGTTTGCATTCTGTAAATTTATTTATTTTGCCGATGAATGTATTGTACATGCAAGAATAATAAAAAATAAAGTAATAAACATTGTATCTTTTTCAAAGTCATTGTATTTCAACGTTATATTTTTTTTTTTTATCACAAACTCGTTACATCATTTTAACACGTTGAATGCCATGAACGATAGCCGCCGCCGCTGTGATACTCTAATATGTTGCATTAATATACGAATAAAGTGCAACTAACAAAACTTAAAAAATTCTACTTCATATCATGGATCGAGAGCTCATTTAATTACAAACATTTGTAAAAAATTATCTTAATTTTAAATAGTGTATGCGACTTTCAATTTATTTATTTTTTTGCGGAGTATATCAAGATCCACGAAGCAGTGAACGTGTTAATTGACAATACTGACCATCGTTAAAGATCATTGAAAAATAATCATCACTCATATAATATTGATTAAAATTATATATTTAATTAATTAAATAATAAATGGGCATATTTACAGGGGTATTCACATATTACGCATTGTGACAGACTTAATGGAATATTGTTTAATCTATTTAAAGCTTACGAGTCTTTATGAAATGGCGAAGATGCAGCGTAACGATGCATTAAAGTACATTAACAATCTTGCTCAGAAAATATATAATCAATTTCACGCTTTGGCACGAAACCATCTTACTATCGATATGAGCTTGTTTATCTTTAAACTATTCTTTAACTTGCTAGAATTTAAAATACGGAGAAATACATAATACATATCACGCAAAAATTCTGTATTTTTCTAATTATTCGTGATTTAATCAAATCGTTAGCCAATGAAATATATAAAATGATATTCTCATGGCACGCCAATCAATTGTAATTTGAAAGTTGTATTTAGATACATCCAAATATATCTAATTTATTTCTTTGTACTAAATATTTCTAAGTAATCGTTCAATTTCGGAATATTTTTAATCATTTATTTTTAGTAATAATGATCACCAAGGTCTCCACATATCGCCATTAGCAGCAAAAGAACCTGCTGGGCTCGTTGGAAACTTCTCGGAATTTGAATTACAGTTTCGCGATGTCTGGCAATTCTGATTTCCTGGCAGATCTTGGCCAGGAATTGCGGGAGATGGCTCATTTGTGCTTTTAAGCACGTCGGTATTACTCATCGAGGCGGTCGAACTAGTGGGTTCTTGATATCTCGGTCTCTTATCCGAGATCGCCAAAAGCCCGTCGGAATGACGTTTCCTAAGACCGTCTCTCTTGAGCAGCAAGCCACTTGAGGCGCGATTGTAAGTCTTGTCCGTAATCACGGAAAGCGGTTGTCGCAGACTGTGCATCGCAGTACCGTTTGCATGAGTGGCATTGTCCAAACTCTCCGCGACGTCTTTTTTGGTTGCGACATTATCGTCCACGGCCTTAGATTCCAAGAATGCCGTTGCGGGTGACTTTCGGTCGCTAGTCGAGCTAATTTGCGGTTTCTGGGTCTCCGGCGAGGACGAGAAGCTCTTTGAGGACGCAGGGCTCTGCTCGGGTAATTTGAATCGATGTTGCGGCTGATGATGGTTAGGCGTCGTTGCCCGTGGATGTTCCGAATGATGACTCTCATCGCCGTAACTCGACGTGGACGTCGAAGGGCTCAGCAGCGGGGTGTGCGGCCGGTGAACCGCGGTAAAAGCCGACGATTGACCGATTCTTGCAGATGCGTCCGTGGCCGGTGGAAAGAAGGGAAAATTCGCCGAGATTCCGGCGGATTGCGGCACCAGGAATGCCAATTCGCCCGTCGGCAGTCGACTCGGAATCAATTGGACCCCGTTCGGTATCTGTATTCTCGCGCTACCGTTGTTATTCTCATCCCCATTCTGGAAATCGCTCTGGAAACCAACCTTTACCTCCGGGTAGAGGCGTTCCGGCATGTAGGGCACGTACTGACTGTAGAATGGCGCCATTTGCTGGAGATGGCTCACGCAGTTGTTCAAGTGTGATACCAATCGTTGCTTGATGGCAGGGTCGACGTTCTCGAGGCGGCTGATGTATCGCGATACTTCGGTAGCACATTCGGAAAATCCGGAACGGAATTTCGTTAGCACCACCGGATCGTTGGCGACGGCGGTACTCAATTGCTGCCGCTGCATCGTTTGTATATGCTTCACCGTCATTTCGAGGATATCGGCCTTCTCGAGTTTCGAGTGTCTGGTTGGCTGTAACAAGCAAAAATGGTAAAAGTATCGATATGAATAATTGATAATAATTAACAATGTAAAAATTAATTGCGCATATTTTTATATTATCTATCGAACATAATTAGATTTTTGAAAAATGACCCTGAAATGACCTAAATGACCTTCCAATCGAGAAGTTAGAAAGCGTAACGTGCATCGGTGTTGAAAGGACTCTGCGTTATCTACGGAAGTTACTCGGCGGTAAAGGTAAAGGGTCATATACGCGATAAAAGGGACAAAATTGGATTTCTTCTTATTCGAGGGCCAGTAACTAAGACCGCCCGGGGAATTGGCTTTTTGTCAGAAAAAGGATCCTCGATCGAACATCGATCCTCTGTTGAGAAGAAATGTATGATGACGCGACACGCCCATATAATTGACTTGATGTGAACTGCTACCATAATAACAGACTACCAACTACGGTAGCTAATGTAGCCCATTTCGTAGTCAGCCTAAGGGCGCTTAAGGACGCTTAGCTCTTACATTCTCCTAGATTTTTTTATTAAATTGCATGCAATAGATCGTTAACTCATTTCATCCAAGTCACGCGTGAATTGCTCGAGGATGTTTACCTCTCGCAAACGTACCATTACAAAATAATCCATTGACAAGCGAAAGAATCGTACATATATAAACTAATTTATTATTTTATTTTTAGATTTCGTTAGTATATAAATAACGTTACTAAATAAAATTACTTTTAAATACTTGCTATTTATGAGCTATCGATTCAATCGTGGGAAACGATTCGATTCTCGAAAACATCACGAAGCGGTTTTTCACCTATCCTGATGAACGTGACCTTTCCCGAATCCAGCTTATGCTGTAGAAATTCCCATCAGCCCTTTAACCACCAATACTTCAATAGTTGTATGGTCCTCTTTTTCAAGGGTCTATTGTATCCACTCAATTCTTTGAACCTTATCCTGTCGGATCATCCCAATGTTCGCATTTTTATGGTAAATTTGCGATCACCTAAAGAATGAGCGTGGGAGTCGTCGAGACAGGAATTATACACGGAATCGTATAAATGTCTTGCGACTCGGTAGAACTTTGCCTTTTAAGCACTTTGACTTTTGAGAAATGCAATATAAAATTGAAATGTAAAACCAGCCGTATGCCAATACGAAAATAAATTACTCGTAAAAATGTAACGAGAGTAATATTGCGTGGGATGAGAGAAACATCGTAGATATCGATTTTCCCGCGAGTGAATTTGACACCCTCAGACTCAAGAGCGGAGAAGTGGCACCTGTTAAAGGACTGACAAAAAAAAGAAAGCAGAGGCGTTGCGCATCTCCCCCTTTTTTCGCCGATCCGCACCGTCGTCGCGGACCGGAGCTGGATCCTTAAAGATGATACGGTCAACAAAAGAGGCTGCAACCCGAGATGAGATTCTTTTTCTTCGTAATAATTATTTCGAGGTTCCCACGAACACGCGGGGGGCGTTTCGGACGAACGGGACGGACACACTGGAGCGAGCAGGTAGCGGAAGTCATCTGGACGAGAGTGAAGAGAAAGAATGGTGAGAGCGTCTTGTCTCGTTATACGTCCCTTGAGAAATCAACCTCAACGGATTGTGTTATGCGGCGGAGAATCTTTGATCCGTAAAAAAAAAAAAAAAAAAACGATAAATCTTAATCAATTGATAACCAATTCGTTCTTTTACTTCACTGTGCAAAGTTCATTTATTTTATAGTTTTCTTCTTTTGCTTTTTAAGCTAATTTTTATATACGTCAATATATTTTTATAGTCGGATTTAATCTAACATTTCGCTACATTTCAAATTGCTACCAACTGATTCAAGAGTATTGAGAAATGAGGAAAGTGATTTCGAAAGTCACGTGTGTTAACATGTCAATTTCAAATGGGCGCGTTTCAAATTGGAGGTCTTTTTAAATAGAGATTTCTTTACTTTTTCTTTTGACCAGTTTGTGATCAAAGAATGCCATTGTAAAATCTGTGGGACACAGATTACACCGCGAATGTATAAGGATCCAGTTCCATCTGTTTCCCACGAGGAGACATCTAAAATACTAAAACAAAACCTTTCTACCCCCACTTCCTCTCGTTCCTCCAATCCTCCAGTCTAAAACGGATCCTGTCCGCAGAGGATGCCGACGGAAAAAGGGGTCCACAGTGGACAACCTGATCAAATACATTCAATATACATCCGTTATGACAACTTCCGCTACCGACACAATGATTAGTCAGTCCTATATATCACGGAGTCTCGTATTACCGTAACAAAAATTACATTTTTTTTTTACGTTAGGTAGACAGAACTACACAGTATTTCGGCTTGAAAAAATATTATGTTGAATATTTTATACAATTTGAAATTCAATATTTTTAACAAAAAACTAAATTTTTTTTCTACCTTGGATAAAGTATTAGAATTAATTTTAGCACGTGGCCAGATAAAGTCGAGGAAAATAATTAGGATAATAATACTCAAAATAACAATACTGTAAATAACGTGCAAAAATGCTGTGTTTCCTTAGTGTCCTTCAGAGCGCGATCACAAGTAGCACATTTTTTAATGTTATCTTTCATAAAGCGGATCACGTCTCTAGATAAACAGCGGAGAAGTCACGTTTTTCTACGACATGTTTTAACAAGGCGCCAGCAATGTGGATCTCACGCGTGCAAATAAAAATCATGCGTGCACTGACTGGCATGCAATCTCGTGCTATCATTTGAGCATTTTGCTGATGCCGTTGTTCATCATGAGTCTTACTGCTTGACCGAGTAATTCAATCGCATTTAAAATATTAAAAGACAAATGTTAATTTTCATGTCGAAGTAGCTTCAATTAACTAGCTATTTTTAATCGATATTGACCGATGCAGAAACTTCTAGCTTATTAAAAAAAATTAAATATAACTTACATCTTTTTCACTAACGAGGATGTAATTCTTTAGCTCATCGAGATACTGATTAATTCGAGCGCGTCGCCGTTTTTCCATAATCGGTTTGTTGCTCTGAAATAATCAGATTAAGTTTTATCAGTTATTTACAATGTGTGTGTGTGTGTGTGTGTGTGTATGATATTCCATTAGTTCTCTTCATTTAGAACGTATCAATATATAAATTTTTGGTATGAAAATTTTTTATGCAATGGAATAATTAATTTCTGACACATTCATTACCCTCCTCAATTCCGCTTTCGTCATTCCCGAATGTGTTTGAGGCTCGAGTTCCTCCTCGCTGCCCAACATTTTGTCGTTCCGATAATCCACCATTAAGCAGAGTTCTTGACCATCGTGACTTCTATGCTGGCGCGCGAATGCACTTATTGCAATTAATTACTTGCAATTAATTCGTGAGAATTATCCCGATTGATTTACTTGCGTACACATTCACAGTATGGTAAGTCAAAGTTGAACAGTTCGCACTAAAGAACACTAAAACTCTTTTTTTTCTTTTTATTTTTTATAACAGCCAAGTACTTCTCAAGCACGTGAATACGAAAACTATTGTCACCAATGTATGAACCTGATGTATGATGCTTGTTTTAAATAAATAAATATATAAAAAATTTTTGGCCGTCCGTCAGAGTGTCGGTCTTATGTTAACGTGCGTCTCCGAAATTCTGAAGCGATATGTAGGGAAGTCCATCTTCACCGATGGACGTCCCGCTTGGGATATTGAGGGTAACTGTTTTCGATTTCGAAGACCGCATGCCGATGCACCCGTATAAGAGTGGGGAAAAGTGCGTCCCGGAGTGGGATATTGGGTACCCCAAAGGTGGGGAGGTCCTCGGCCCTCCTGAGACCTGTTGATGTGTGGGAATTCACGCCGTCTGCAGGATATACCCCATGCACCGTAGTCGCTTATTTAATTTGGGCTACATCCTGTGAAGATAATATCGGAAGTGGTTTGGGCAATTTGCGACCAAGCAGCCGATATATTTATTTTCAATTGGTATATAATTATATCCTTTATTATATAAATACTTTTTACAAGAGAGCCTTTTACAAGAATATTCTGCGATTTTTTATAAATTAAGAAAAAAAATCCAATTTATAATTATTTTATTTTTCGTCTTTATTATTATTTTACAAAAAGATGCGCCATGTGGATGTTGCCTTATTTACACTGTAATAATGGCATGTAAAATTCTAATGATAAAATGTTACGAGCGGTATGTACAATTAATTTTTGTCGCGACGCGAACGGCGCGACCATCGATGAAAAAAGACTGATTGTTAGCGCGCATCGACTGTAGCAGCGGTAAAGCACAAAGGCGTGCAATAGAGGATCATCTGACAGAGAAGGGCAAACATTGCGTGCCGACATGTGTATGTGCGTGCGTATGCGCGCGTCATAAGTGTGGCTGGCGCGCGCAACGCGATCCGATGCACGGTCTGCACGGGTGCATACGAGAGCGCGAGTGCAGGGCCTCTCACGTGGGAATTGTTTTAAAATGTGCTGTTATTTATCTGTACAAAGCTGTCGCTGTTAACGCAGTGACATGTTCTGACGTGCTCGCTATTTGTAAAATGTGAATGCATAAAACGTGCAATATGACTTTTTTCTCTCTCACTTTTTTTACACACTTTTTAGAGGAAGAAACTTAATTCGCATACATCTCTTCATAAAATCACGAATTAAAATTAACGAAGTTACTTTTACGAGTATAATAACGAGATTATGACAATTAATTCTTAAATTTTTTTATTACGATTTCCAGTGGTACTTTACTAAAAAAATGATAACGCTAATAAAAATATAAAAAGTGATTTTGTAAGGGATGTCTTATAGAAATTATAATGCACACACATGTAAGCAAATGTATAATTTTAATATAATTTAACTGAGCGATTTGTAAAATACCATTTGCTTCTTTCAAAATCAGCTCACTGGACAAGACAATGACTACAGCAAAAAATTTTTATGGCTTTTAGAATTATACCAAAAAACTATCGGTGACGTAATGTCTTACGGTTTTCTTCCGGCATTTCGAGATTTAGGGGACCACCCGAGGATGTTTTTAAATCATTGATTTATTGCGTAACGTATTCCAACTATGTGTTGTCAACCTTTTAAAATATATTTCACTGGGTGCAGACATATTTACTGACAAGACAAAGATTCACCAACTACTTTATTATACTGTTACATCGACATTGACAGCCCTTGGTCCACACTTAATTTTATTTATCTACACGCTTGTCGTCAAAACGACACGCTTAATTTTATGCGCACCAGATTTTTCCAACGTAAAAGATATTTCGAGGATTTACTTCAATATATTTGATTTATTCCTACGAGCCTTTAGTTCGTCAATTTATTTAAGACATTTGTTGTAGAAGAGGATGTGCTTAATCCGGAACGAACGAAATAGTCATGCACGCTACAGGCAAATATTACACGCGAAAGAATCATCTCTACGTTAGTGGTTCGCAATATGCCTCGTGAATACGCGCGGGAGATCTAGCTACGATAAATTACCCCGTTTACAGGAGCAGCTGTGCGTTTCACGTTCAAGATGCAATGAGAGCTCTTTAGCTAAGCCGGCCTATTAGACGTTTAAAAATCAGATCCTCGCGAAATGTGACGAGATGACTCGATAAATGCAACCGGTCTGTAATCGAAATTTTTTTTCACGCTAATGCACTTTAAGTATCGGTGCCCAGATGTTTGACAAACGAGTCTGATTTACGATATATAAAAACCCTTTCGCGTTTAATATAAGTGTTTGTTGTGTTAATTTGATAACAATCAATTGACAAACAGCTGCGACTCGAAATTTATACAAAGAATATCAAAACGCAATACTTTGCTTTTGTCATAAATTAAAATAAAATCATCTTAATTTAAAATAAAAACAAAAGTTAAATATCTTTAATTTACATGTTATGGATATATCGGGAATTAAAAAATAATGTTACACCTAGAGCAAGAACGAGAGAGAGAGAGAGAGAGAGAGAGAGAGAGAGAGAGAGAATATACTGTGCAATAAATATTGATCTTGTTACTTATTATTTGATCCGAGGTCAAATTTCCGTTACATTTCGGAAAAAAAGAATAGATCTTTTGTGAATAGATATTTTATGACTTTATTTGTAGTAATAATTAAGAAAACGTAGCAAGTTAACGTGTGTTAACTGCACTTTTATCTCCTTGAGATTGATACATTATTACGTCGCGACGGATGACATGTTGAGCCGAGTCACGAAACTAGTATCGTTGTTGAAAGATTTACCTTTCTGGCTTTTATATTTACATTCAGTAACGGTTTAATTTGCGTTTAGGATTTTTGGATGTATATAAACGTGAATCACAACAAAAGAAAGGAAGTCCTCAACCTTTAGTCCTGTTTTTATATATCCTTCAATTGTGAATATTTACGACCGATGCTTTTGTGCTTTGCAATTGCAATACAATACTTACATTCTTTTCGATATAAATACAAAATACGTTTGCGAGTTTATTAAAATTTTTTATTTATATTTTTAGCATGGAATATTATAAAATGATTCGCCGTAAAAAATATATTTAAAAAAGACTGAAACAAATGCGAAATAACTATTCGCCAATATATCTGCAAAAATGTTTCGCTTTGCAAAGCAGATTATAGCCTAATAAGTACTGGGTAAGCAAATTTTGCTGAACGCTTTGTTACATCCATTTACACGGGATCCTTTCTTTTTCCCATGATCCATAATTTCCCATAAATATTCCAGCCTAGCTGTCATAACGGAAGGCGTTCGGTCAGATGTCGCGACCTTCTCATTAACCCCGGGAGGCTGAGAGCCCCAGAGTACTTGGCTTGACCACAAACTTCTCGAGAAGGATCGAGAAGGCTCGTCACGTCTTAAATTTGGAACGCCCATCCTCCGGTCTCGCTGCTTTTGAGGTTCGATCTTGGGATGCACCTGCAGCTCGCACCCACGCAGTCATAAGCTCGTACAGGAAGGAAACGTTGCCCCTAAGTCTCGAAATCTTCATTTCCGCTCGCGATAAGTGGAGGCTGGTTTTTTTAAAGAGACCCCTCCTTTTGCTTTGCACGCGCGAGTATAAAATGTTCATCGCGTAATATATTAATCGGAAAAAAAACTATCTAATTACCGGAAAAAGAGCTTCATAAACTTTCACGGGAACTAAAATCCGTGTGAGCATTAGTATAATATGTATAGCCAACCCTATTATATCGAGGCATGCAAAACCGGCTAAAAAAATACATGCGTGGGGTCGATAGGACCGACATCTGGATTATCGTTCCCGGGAAACGCTGTTGTAAATGCAGGAAAATATAACTCGTTTCCGTGGGATTCAGTGAAAAAAAAAACCCGCTGGCGACGTTACTTATAGCGTTCGCCATTCGTTTCTTTCAGAAGGGTGACATTTGGACAAATATTTCTGTAATAAATTTTTTCTTACTAATGAGTGTACGTTCTAATTTTGGAGTAACCGAAGACAATTTTGAATTATTATAATTGGTAGTATTTAGGAAAAAAACTCTGGTTCTTAAAAATTTTAATTTTGATTTTACGTTTTGTTTTTTAAATATAATTTTTCCTAGAGCATTAAATAGATAATTGAAACCATAAGTATCAGTCGTTACAAATTAATTTCAACAGAAAGGAAAATGAAAGGAGAGACTATGACTATGAAAGGAAATTTTATACGGTAAATCGTTGTAAAAGGTAACACGAACATCTTTAGCACAATAACTCTGAAAATCCCAAACGTGAATCAAAAATATTCCATTCAGATGAATTGGGTCAGTGGGTTTTATTGCTGGGAATCGAGTCGTGTGTCGGACACACGTAAAGAAAAATGCCTTACAATAGCAAGATCATTCAGTAACGCTCTGCTTCAATTTATCCGGAATAATAATAATCTTGATATTAATTATTTTCGCGAGGATATATGTATAAGAAAAAATATGTGGTTAAGTTTTAACATTAAAAAATATATATTAAAACAACTTATTCCGCTCCTTTAGATCTTAATTTCTACTACGAAATATAATATCTTGATTACAAATCATCTATAAATCTTAACAAATTCACGTTATTTTATTAATAATTTATTTAACATCTAATAAAAATATATTTTAATTCTTTTTATAAACTTAAAAAATAATTATAATTATGATAGTTACGTCGTTCAAAATTATACCTATGTAGACATATATAGCTTTAGTCTCGCGACATAACTGTTCTTGCGCGCAGCGCTCGATGCAGGTTGCATCCCCCTTGCATAAGCATCGAGGGCCCGGAGAGGACCGTCCCATTCTCGCGTACCCCTTTCCGGAGTGGCCGTCTTTTGCCTTGGCTCGCAAAAGTTCGTACTCATACGACGCTTACGAGCTTATGGTGAGGGATCACCTGGCGACGGTTCCCACGTTTCTGCGATTCGCGTTCGGCTTCACCCTTTGCCTTATATTCCGTCGTGTCGGTGGATTCCGGGTGCCCATAATGGCGAGCACGCAAAGGGCGGGGAGGGAGACCGGCTAGAGGGGCCCGCGTGTAGAAGGAACGAAAAAGATATGTGGAAAGAAAAGGAAACGAGCCGTGCCTCGTGCATCCATTATGGGGGTCTGACCGCTATGGCGGTGCGCGTGGCTGACACACGAAGAACCCGCGGCCCGCGGCCCCCGACGGGATTCGACGTTTTATTAGGAAGGGAAGAAGAAAA